TAGCGGCTCTGAACCGACACACATGTTCGCCCATCAGATGCGTCTGCGACCTGACCGCGCACCCCACCCCTGAAGTCCTTTAGTTTAAAGCCCACTGTACCAAGTTGGCCAACCTACTGCCTAGGATTCCCCTGCCCCACCTAGAGAGGTGGACCCCATCCCTCCCTAATAGGTTGTAGTTGTCGAAGAACGTCCCATTGTCATAAAAGCCAAAACCCTCACGACGGCACCAGCCACGTAGCCAGGAGTTAATGTACATTATGCGCCTATTTCTGGCTGCTCCCTTCCCTCGAACTGGTAAGATGGAAGAAAAGATAACCTGGGCCCCAATGTTTTTCACTTGTACTGGGACTTGACTCCAGGGAGGACAGGCGCAGACAGTGTTTGTTACAATGCCTGGTGATACACATCCCCAAAGCGTCAGTGGCCAGCATGCCTCTCCTCCTTGTTGCATTTTAGTGAAGGGTATTTTACTTTCACTTTGAATAAAAAATAAAAATAAAATAAAAAAAAATCAGGAGTGATGGACAAATACAGACTTTGGAATACAGCAATGCGGTAGACTGAATAAATGAAAAATTAGACCAGCTTTAAAACACAAAGACACAAAAAGAAAAAACAAAGATTAAAAGTCTCAAAAATTATAACGAAGGGTGAACGTACTTGGTCTCTGTAGCTGGCACCAAGAAGCAGTCAGGGCTCCTACCAATATGAACGACAATTAGATTCCAGCAGACAAACCAGAAAGCAATGATTATGATTGCTGATGCTGCAGACCATGGCTGGCCCGCATTAGGTTAAGTAAGCTGGATGCAAGCCAGTCTCATTGAACAAATGGCACAGCACATTCGGGAGGAATCTGAGGAGAGATTACCAATATCTCAAAGGTGACCTTTCACACATGCTATCCCAGCAAATCAGGCAATTCTCTTGGCTATAATGGACAAGATCAGCAGAGGCCAGTCTCTTGAAGTTATGCAGCCTTCATACAAATAGGATTATTTTTTTTTTGAATTATAATAATTGACTGCACCTCATTTGAGCAAAGTACCCTAAGTGCTTTGTTGGTTTATTTCACCCCTTCCCCCTGTTTTACAGAAAACATAACCTAACTTTCCATTATTTATTATCATCCAGGCAGGCAGCACACTAAAAAAGAACTCTAATTTTTAGCCATATTGTCTATTAAAAAATGTAAGACATTTCCTAAAAGGACAGGTGCATTAATTAAGGCTGCCTCAGGATAAATGAAAATTACTAGGAGCGCTTTGCTTTCCTGAATGAGTTTTCCATAGATTATTTATAATTGAATGAAACCAATTACAGCATTTGTAACGGAAACTGTACACAAGTTAAACATTTCCACTTTTCCAGAACCTCAAGAGCGTACTACAGGAACAGAAAAAGGTCTCTACATTTTTATGAAGGGAAAAGAGAAGGTATCTTCTTTTCCAAAAATTTTCCTGTAGGTAAAACACATAGTAAATGCACTGAGTACAAATCCCATCCACATGGCCCAAAAGGGCCCTAAGTGTAATTGAAAATCAGGCCCCAGATACTGAGAAGCCGGAAATCCTGAAGCTATAGATTGAAGTCCTTTCTGTTTCTTCAGAGAAGGAAATAGAGCTTAATTACGCTCAATTTTCTAAATCATGGTTATCCTCTGTAACTAATCAGTAAAGTTTTAAATCAGTATCAGACTAAATGCTTGCTCAAATGGTGGAACATGCTCTGTCTTCAAAATATAATCTTACCTTGCTGACAACTGAGAAAGCTAGAATACTGAGGATTACACACACTGGCATACAGCTCTTATTCTCAAACAGAAAATATCCTTTGCTATCCTACAGAGCAGTCCCTAAAACAACCTTTTTTTGGTGCACAGAGATTTTGCTAGTGAGAGAAAACAAAGAGAACTTTGGGGGGAAAAGAATGAATGTATTTTCAAACACAGGAGCGCTTTCTGAATTCATTCTGAATGGAAGAAGGAAAATGTTTAAAGTTACTGCTAGGGAACCGAGAAAGACATGAATAAAATTATTTGAATAACCATTAGAGAAAATCCTCAGCCTGAAAGACACTTCAGAGAATTCTACTTCCACATCAACTAAAAGCAATACACTTATTGACTTCACCTGTAATTATCTGATATTCACCTGGATTATGAATTTTACCCTGTCAGTAAGCTAAGCAAGTACATATTAATTACAAGGCTGACAAATGCAATGCAGAATTATGGTTTAGTGTTTTCTAACATGCTGAGAAAGTATCTGTCAGACCATTTTTGCTGCTAGTAGTCAGAAAGCTTAACTTCATTCCTAATTACTTCTGTGTAATCAGTAATAAAGCCACGTGATGATTTAAAAGGTAGCTATCTATAGTCAGATAAAACTAATTTATATAACAATAGTGTACTTTGGTTTTTCATTTCTCTTCTAGACTCACATAAAGATAACATCTCAGTGAAAACTAGAGCAGATGCAAGAAGATTGTTCACTATGTGTTCTAGGTTTAACACTGCTTTATGGGATACGTTATGATGCTACCAACTAGACATTAGCACAAGGAAGACCTGCTGCTCTGCAACACATGTAGGACCCAATGCCATTATCCAAGAACCTTTTCTCAATTTTTCATGTTTATCCTTGGATGTCAACTAAACTAGAAGACACAAGTCATTGATGAAAAGTTAAGGTGAACCTGAGGCCACATGAACTGAGATAATTACAAATATCAAGTGAGAATTTTATCAGATTACTAGAAGTGGTTGGGTTTGTTTTTTTTTTTATAATCTCCATATGATTATGACTGTAAGTCTCTGGCTCTGTCAGGTGTTCTAAATTGAAGAGAGCTGTGATATTACATATCTTGGAAGGTTACAAACATACAGGCATTTTCCTCCTAATAAAACACTCTCTTATTTTAGAATACCCTCTGCCATAGCTTCTTTCTGTAGACTCTTTGAAGTATTTTTTCCTCTTACATAATATGGTGGCCAGAGTTCAGTACAGGAATTAATTTTTTAAATCTATGCATTTCCTTCTCATTTGTTCTCTGCAAGAACTCCTTTACTTTCAAGACAGGCAGATCTATCTGCATTTTTTAGATCAGTCTTTACCCTGCTTAAGGCCACACTGCTACATTTTTTTCCACTGACAGTCATGTTGAACTTCATACAGATGTAGTCAGCTGCATCATTAGTCACTTCAATCATTTCTGGTCTAATCTTCAACACCTTGAGTGAACACCTGCCAGTCATGTGCTGCTATTATTTATGAGACAGTTCTACCATCCTAGCTCTTTCCTCCTTTACCTACTACTTACAAAAATGGATCCACTTTGAATGTATTTTTATCCTTTACTTATGTAAATGCTGTCAAATAAGTTTGATTTTGTTCATGCTCTTTTTCCAGCTTTTGTATGATGGGTGTGCTCTCTATAGACCCATAGTACCTACCTGATGTCTCAGGCAACACAGAAGTAAAGGGACTGTAAAATGATGAAACAGTTAATATCTTTCCCTTTATATGGAAACCCAACCTTCTAACCCCTCATATCGATCTCTGTGGGATGTCTCCACACACTACAAATACTCACACACCAGGGGAACGCTGCTCCTAGAGTTACAGAATCAGAAGGTTTAGAGTATGGAAATACATTGCTGATATCAAGTATAATATAACCCAATTTTTTGTTCAGAAAATTCTGCAGACAAGCCAGAGCTATCTGCTTTACAGGGTTGCTTCTCAAAGAACAAGCTCCCCCCACTTCATTTCCAGGCAGACTCTGCTGAACACCATCATAATTATCTGTAACATTTTCAGGGACTATTAAACAAAGATCTAGTTGAAGACTAAAAACTGATGCAAAGACAACACCAACTTGTTTAAACGTTTATTCATCAAACAATGAAAGTGATAAATGAGAGTAGTGAATAATTAGAGAGCACTTACTGTAGCGGAGAGCTGTGGTCCATTCAACTGTGCATGCAGGATGGCTTCATTGATGGAGTTCCGGATTCCCGTCAGAGCAATTTCCAGATCATGTGAAGCAGCCATTTCATTACTCAGATATTCCAGCGTGGAGATATACTCCCTCCATTGTCCATCCAGTTCTGACACACTGGCCAAACAGCCCCTCATTACATTTAGACAATATCCGACACAGGGTCTGATCAGCGTCAGGCCCTGGCAATGTGGGCAGTACTGCATCTTCACTAGAGCCTTGCTACATTCCTTCGTGAGAGCTGTGTGTTCAGTAGTATTTATCACCTCGATGCCCAGACTGAGGGCCTGGCTGAGCATCCTGCTTGCCCAAAGAGATTTTGACAGCTCTGTAACCATGTTTTTAGAGTAGCGTCCAAAAGGATTTATGTCTTGCCTTGTAAGCCGTAGACACTCTGTATAGTCCTCTGACAAATCTGTAATTCCCGGGTTTATTAGCCGGCTATAGACCAGAGGAAAGAGACTGTCAAAGAACCGTAATACTGCACTTTCTACTGTAGTCTCTGCGCCCAGAATGTAGAGAGAGATGTCTGTAAAAAGTTCTTTAACGGGCTCTGCTGCTTCTTTTGCCATAGGTCTGTAAGCTGTCTCAAACAGGGAACTTGTGCGGTTTTCAGCAAAGCGAAGCAAAGACTCAAAGGCCTCTGGAAAAGGGCAGAGGAGAGAAAGAACTAAAGGTTAATAACAAGCACCGGACATCTTAGTCACAGGACTAACATTGTCCTGAGCTGGAACATCAATAGTTACATGAAATTTGCAATATGAACACACTAATAGTTCATATAGCTTTCATCAGTAATATGCTTAAAAAGACACCTAAATATTACGTGCGCATAATAAAGGCAACAAATAATACACAATATTTTCTTAAAAAAAAAAAACAAAACAAAAGATAACTGTATTGTCAGTAGCTAGAGCCTGACCCAAACTCCAGAGGTTGATGAAGGGCTCCCGCAGACTGCAGCGAGCACAGACAGGGTCTGGCTAAGATGGCTTTTGTAACCAATGCGGCATTGAGGCATTTCAACCAGCTACATTTCCAAAACACCCCTCTACATACAAGGGACATCAGTTTCCAGTACACAGGGAGGACTGTGACATTTTCAACATTCCTATAGAACTACAGAGAAGAATACTTGAATAGGTAAAACTATTTATGTGATGAAAGTTCTAGAACTGTGAGACAGGACTAACCACTAACAGGAGCAGTCTGTAATGCACCAATCACACTATCACAGCCACACTGGACCAAATAAATAATGACAAAATAACCAGATTTAATAAAAGGGTGAAAATTCATATTCAAACTTCTTCTAAAGCTGTAAGACTTCACTGCATATTGATATTAAAGTCAGAATAACATCTCATCAGCACGCAGAAATGCTGATCCTCATTCATTAGCTGTACTTTCAACTATAACCATTTGAAATGTTTTAATAACTTAATAGCATATGAAAGCAGTATCTTGATAACATAATAGGAGCTTAAAATTGTCTTAGCTTTTCATCCCAGGTGATCTATTGCTATGAAATCCTGCACCAAGAATGGAAAAAGCATAAGGCATTCATGTCCTCCTACAATCAACCTAGATTTCTAACACACACGCTTGTACGATTTGGAGAGCTGACGCGCAGAGTAAGTACACTCTGGAAGGAAGGATAGACAAAGCTGGCACACCAATAGCGGCTTTAGATAAACGGCTGGGCAGCAGCTCTGTTGAGCTGGTGAGATAACTGATTACAAAGAGAAGTCAAAGTTTCTGTTTCACCGTGCTGTGAGTGGGTGGCTGAGAGGCATTTCTTGCAAAGTACAACTCAAGGATGAAGGAGAGATGCTGTGTGAATAAATTCTCTCCCTGTTAACATCGGCTAAGTCTGGACACCAGCCAGCAGCTGGGCAGGACTTGACATCAAGTCTGCTATGAACCAAAACCAAAATGAAATTATACTGTCAGGAAAACTCTATCTCCTTTAATGACACCATTTTTGAATGGCTAAAAAAAAGAAAGGCAACAAATATTATACACCCAAAACCCTGTCTGGGGTGCTGGAATTCGGAGACAGGGGCAAGGAAGGGATCAGTTGTCGAGATTATTTTTAATGACACAGAAGACAGTAATCCACACCGTTCTCTCTGCTTTGTTTGGAAGCTCTACAACAAAAAGCCTGACCTAAACCATTCTTGCCCTCCTCCAGGCGGCAAGTAGTTCCAGTCAAGGCAGGAGACCTATCACTTTATACCTCCTGAGGACTGGCCAGATAATGGGGTTTCGGTCTAAGCCTTCTCTACGTTAATCTGAACATCACCACAGAATTCACTGCAACATAACACAAACCAAAGTCACCCAAAGATCAGCTTGGTAAAGGAGCAGATACAATACTGTAAATCAGGATTAGCATACACTGGCAGAGCCTGCTCAGTGCCTTCCTCTACTGTCCACAAGTCCATGGGCCCCGATGGAATGCACCCGCGAGTACTGAAGGAACTGGCAGATGACATTGCTGAGCCACTCTCCATCATCTATGAAAGGTCGTGGAGAACAGGAGAGGTGCCTGATGACTGGAAGAGAGCCAATGTCACTCCAGTCTTCAAAAAGGGCAAGAAGGAGGACCCAGGGAACTACAGGCCGGTTAGTCTCACCTCTGTCCCTGGAAAGGTGATGGAACAACTCATTCTGAGTGTCCTCTCCAAGCAAGTGGATGAAAAAAAGATCATCAGGAGTACCCAGCACGGATTCACCAAGGGGAAATCATGCCTGACCAATCTGATAGCCTTCTATGGTGGCATGACCGGCTGGGTGGATGAGGGGAGAGCGGTGGATGTTGTCTACCTTGACTTCAGCAAAGCTTTCGACACTGTTTCCCATAACACCCCCATAGGGAAGCTCAAGAAGTATGGGTTGGATGAGTGGACAGTGAGGTGGATTGGGAACTGGCTGAATGGCAGGGCTCAGAGGGTTCTGATTGGCGGGGCAGAGTCCAGATGGATGCCGGTAGCTAGTGGAGTCCCCCAGGGCTCGGTACTTGGCCCGGTCTTGTTCAACTTGTTCATCAATGACCTGGATGAGGGGACGGAGTGTACCATCAGCAAGTTTGCTGACGACCCAAAACTGGGAGGAGTGGCTGATACACTGGAAGGCTGCGTTGCCATTCAACGGGACCTGGACAGACTGGAGAGCTGGGCAGAGAGGAACCTGATGAAGTTCAACAAGGGCAAGTGTCGAGTGCTGCACCTGGGGAGGTCGAACCCCATGCACCAATACAGGCTGGGGGATGACCTGCTAGATAGCAGCTCTGCTGAGAGGGACCTGGGAGTCCTGGGGGACAATAAGCTGACCATGAGCCAGCAATGTGCCCTTGTTGCCAAGAAGGCCAATGGTATCCTGGGGTGCATTAAGAGGAGTGTGGCCAGCAGGTCGAGGGAGGTTCTCCTCCCCCTCTACTCTGCCCTGGTGAGACCCCACCTGGAGTACTGTGTCCAGTTCTGGGCTCCCCAGTTCAAGAAAGACGAGGAACTCCTAGAAAGAGTCCAGAGGAGAGCTACCAGAATGATAAAGGGACTGGAGCATCTCCCCTACGAGGAAAGGCTGAGAGAGTTGGGCTTGTTCAGCCTGAAGAAGAGAAGACTGAGAGGGGATCTCATCAATGCATACAAATATCTTAAGGGCGGAAGTCATGAGGATGGAAGCAGTCTGTTTGCAGTGGTGTCCAGCGACAGGACTAGGGGCAATGGGTGCAAACTGAAACATAAGAGGTTTCAGTTGAATATGAGGAAAAACTTCTTTACTCTAAGGGTGACAGAGCCCTGGAACAGGCTGCCCAGGGAGGTTGTGGAGTCTCCTTCTCTGGAGATATTCAAAGCCCGCCTGGATGAAGTCCTGTGTAGAATGCTCTAGGAGAGCCTGCTTTAGCAGGGGGGTTGGACTAGATGATCTCCCGAGGTCCCTTCCAACCCTTGCCATTCTGTGATTCTGTGATACTGCATCCCCCTGGCCAACTAACTTGCTTATTATGATAAGCGTAAGAATCCCTTTACCAGAAAGGGTGACTTAACTAGACAGATAATACAGCATATCTCATTGTACATTAAATCATCAGTATTTTACATGCACATGCACACACTGTATCCTTCTGCCAGAGAAGCACTCCAGCATTCCCTCTGGTACTACAGCAACTCATACTCTGGAAGTGCTTATAAAATCCTAGAAATTAAGGATTTGGATACACTTCAGTTGAAAGAGAAGTAAGTTCATTCTCAGGCAGAGAAATACGTCACCAAGTTTCAGACTCGAGCAGACTTTTACAGCTGAAAAAGATTCTGAAAATTTGATTTATGGTGGAAATACTGACACAACCTAAATGGTAGGGCAGTTAGCCACGTGCTACTGCATTAATGAAAGTTTTCTGGTTGCCACATCACCCTTATGTGTTTATTTTTATTTCTAGAGGAAACCTAAACACCATTTTTGTTTATCATACCAAAAAGGCAATGGAAATACTCAAAACATACATAAAACAGTGTTTTAAGTTTCCTCCTTCAAGCACACTCCCTTTACTTCTCACAGATACTCAGCTCGCCGTTAGATTATGGGAGCAGGGACTGGCTCCTACAACGCCAACAGTCGTACACTGCTGCTTTACCCTCCACACCCGCAAAGGCTGAACTGCAGCCATCATCATCCTCACCTGAGGACTAAACGGACTGCATTTATAAATGTGCAAGTATCCTTACTGTCCTGAGAAACAACTGCCCCAGTGAAGGATGAGAGCAAAACAGTCAATAACAACACACATCCCAAGAAAACAGATTTCAGCAGCTTCCCAAGATACTGGGTTAGACTAGAAACCTGTAGCATTTTATTTTCAAACCTCTTAGCTGCGAAAATTCTGCATTGTTCTGAGACGAGTATGAAATCAAAATATTTAGCAGTGTCATTTATTTGTCATTGTGTAAGAGAGCAATTGTGATGGTGCTTCACTCCTGCTGCAGAAAGACCCCTAACACCAAAAATACGGTACAAAAAATATTTCTGCTGATTGTAGATGTGCTGCACACACCTGTAAGGCATCGTTTGCTTCCTTCTCACCACTGGTCAGACAAAAAAATGGCTCATGCTGGCAGGTACTCTAGCAACGATGTTTGAGAAGGAAATATGTAGATCTTTTTTCATTGTTAAGGCATTAAGAGATGTTTGAGACAATCAAATTAGGGGATCAGCTGGATGTTCTTAGGCCTTTAATTAGAAATAACAGGGCTTCACATAGTCAAACAATTGTGTAACAACAGACAGCTTGCATTCCAGTTGTACAGAGCAGGCAACCTTAGCATCCTGGTTTAAAAGTGATTAATTGTAGGCTTTTAATGCACCCTGTCTGGAGTTTCTAAACTTTGCCAAGGAAGGTTTGCCACTATCTGAAAAACTGGGTGCTCATCTGTGCAGTCAAATACAGCAAACTTTAGACATTTATTAACTTGCAAAAAGCTGAATTCTAAGCCTAAGCATACACTGGGAGAAACATCTGATCATCTTTCCCAGCCTTTGGCTTCCAGCCCCCCACCAGCAGCATACAAGGTACTATAAACTGCAAATATATTGATTCTGAACAGAAATTAGACATAACCAAAATAATCCAGGATTTGATGG